TTTTTCTTTCTTTTTTTTTTTTTTTTTTTTCTTTCGATGAAAGATTGCTCACGTGTTTATCAGTGATAATAAACACGTTCCTTCGACGCGTGATACGTGGACGAGGAGTCGGTCGGGAATGTACGAGTAAGTTGCAGGATCGTCCTGTCATTGGGATCCATTAAAAGAGTGGGAGGGGAGGAAAAAGGTGAGGAAGACTGCTTTATTAGCTCGTGTACCGTGATTGAAACATGGTTACGTGGATCGTTTCCATCCTTGTCTCGAGATTTGCATGCACTTTGTCCGGATGAGGGAACCAATTGCAAGTAACAAGTTGCACATGTTTGGATGTAAATTATGCGTAACTATAGGTTAGAGGGGAATAATGATCGTGAACACGTGGGATAATGTGATATATAGGCAAAGATACATTTACATGTTACATGAATAATTGCATCGAGGTGTTAAAAGTTCACATGATTCGAACATCGAATTATCCTGGACTCGATGCTTTTCGTATTTTTTTTTTTTATTTAACGATTACTTTAAATCACAAATTATATCATATTTAGATTTAAAGATTTTATTTTTCGTCTCAAATTTGTATCAACCTTTTTTTCAAAATATACCATATATTACAAAAAAAATATCACTCGTTCTATCATTCGTTTTATTAATTTTATTCTTAAATCCTGTTAAATAATTAATTATCCGAAACATCGACGTACAATTTTTGTTGATTAGACTTATATATTTCATTAAACTTTCATTTAAAAAGAAAAAAAAAAGAAACACCAATTAACGTATAACTCGAGCCAAGCCTACAAATCCAATCTCTCAAAACATTATACACAAAACGCGTAATCCTCGGTAATAATAATTATACCCGCAAAAAAAAAAAAAGAAAAAAAGAAAAAAAAAATAGCTCAGCAGCGTGAAAGAAAAGATCTCTGAACAAGCCGACTGTCTCCAATTCAAAATGCACTCTTTCGCCACCACTACCACCACCACGGTTCAACATCCACATCGACGCACGTAAATACGACACCCGAAAGAGCCAGCCAACGAAAACTATCGACAATTCCCATTTCAAGTCACTCGTACCTAGCCGCGCCGTTGGTTTGAAGATCCGCAAGGAGGCTCTCGACGACGGCAATTCCAACGACGTGCACTCTACTATTTCCAGTTGCGCCGGTGCGAAACGTAACGAAACGAGGAGAGTAGTCTGCTCCCAATTTATCGAGGCCTTATTTCACCGTAAAAACGAAAATACGAAGCGCGACAACGCAGCCACGTCTCTTTCTCTCTCTCTCTCTCTTTTCCTTTTTCTTCTTTTTCCTTTTTTTTTTTTTTTGTATATAAACCTCGTCACGTTATTATTTCTCGCCGCTACCCGCTCATTAAACTCCTCTCCTTGATTTTTTTAGTGCCTACGCGGGTCTCCGGAGTCTCCTTGTCCACGCCCCGATGCATATCCACCTCCCTTCCTGCCACCCTCTTCCCTGTCCTCTCCAAACGTCTCGTTGAATCCCGACTTCATCGCATACACGCGCGGATCTACCGCGAGGAGTCACTCGTGTTCGTGTTGTACGTGTTCCTCTCTTCGAGGAAGGCTTCCTCTGAACGCGGCGAGCACCGCAGCAACCCTTTGCTTGGAGGAGGACTTTTGACGCCCTGCGACACGCTCGAATACCGTTCGACAAGAGGATTCGGGAGGCGACGAAGTTTTTTTCCCCCCGCTTCTTCCGCCGCTCCCGCTCTTTCCATCGCTCGTTTCCACTCTCTTTGCCCTCGTTTCATCTCTCCTGCGTAGGTTTGTATTTTTTCTTTCTTTCTTTCTTTCTTTCTTTCTTTCTCTTTATTTATCTTTTTTCTTTTTTTTTTTTCTCGGTTCGCGACGAGGAGAAGATACGTGGCCGCGCAAGTAGAGAAAGTTGGTGGATGAAGTTTGGCGAACGAGTGGTGGGATGTTGAGGAGGAGAAGTGGTCTAGATAGAGTTACGTTTGATGCTTGGGTACGTAGTTGGTGTTAATTCGAAGTTGGGATATTGTATATGATTGAATTGTAATTTTGTAAACGTTTTGTAAATTAAGAAAAATAAAAATTAGTTGATTTCAATGTACGTGTTAATTTATTTTGTATGTAGTATAGTGATTTGAAATATAACGCTTACCTTTGAGAGGATTAAAAAAATGTTTTAGATAAAAGTTGAATGATTTCGAATAAAGTATATCTTGAAATTATTAATTTTAATATTAATATTATTAATATTATTTATAATAATATATTATTAATAATATATATTATTAATAATATATATAACAATATTATTAATAATATTAATATTATTAAGAACGGATAAAGAAAATAGGAACATAAATTTTATTTTTTTAAATCGTAATCTATACTTTTTGATATATTGGAAGATGTAACATGTCATTTCCTAGAAAAAAAACTACTAGGCCACTTATAGAAAAAAACATTAGTTTATAAGATAATTAAAAATAATTAAATATCTTTTAAACTAAGGATTTTTAGCAATAAGTGATTAGTAGTTTTATTTAAGAAATATTAAATTGTATCAATTCCAGAATAAAAAATATATAGTTTTAGTCAAAAAAATTATGTCAAACTATATATGACAGTTACACTTCCAATCGCAAAAAAATTAATGATATCCAAATATCACATCTTTAGAAATCATTCAACATTTATCTATAATATTTTTTAATAATAATAAAAAAACCGAGATATTCCTCCAATCCCTCTATTCCGAAAATTAATAGATATAAGGGAAAATTAAAAAACGGAAAAAGGTAAGTATATCTAATTCTACGGAAACTGATAAAAAAAACTGAAAAAAAAAATATGAGCTGTAAAAAGATAAGTACAAAAATGTAAGTATGTAAGGTAAGTATATATCATATTTTAAATTACATTTTAATAAAAAGTTGAAATTTTTGGCAGAAATTGACAAACTAACATTTTTAGTAAAAATTTCGCGTGCCACCTCCTTTCGAATTATATTCTCCTAATAAAAAGTCGGAATTTTTGGCAAAAATTTTTAGCCTCAGTCTTTCGGGAAAAATTTCGCGTGCCACCTCTTATGGAATTATATTCTCCTAATGAAATGTCGGAATTTTTGGCAAAAATTTTTAGCCTCAGTCTTTCGGGAAAAATTTCGCGTGCCACCTCCTTTCGAATTATATTCTCCTAATGAAAAGTCGGAATTTTTGGCAAAAATTTTTAGCCTCAGTCTTTCGGGAAAAATTTCGCGTGCCACCTCCTGTGGAATTATATTCTCCTAATGAAAAGTCGGAATTTTTGGCAAAAATTTTTAGCCTCAGTCTTTCGGGAAAAATTTCGCGTGCCACCTCTTATGGAATTATATTCTCCTAATGAAAAGTCGAAATTTTGTATGAATAAAATTTTTGTCCAAATTGCCGATTTTGTAACAGGAGAATATAAGTTGAAAAGAGGTATCACTTTGAAATCTATAATTTATTTACCTCTTTTATTCTTACCTTTTTTTATACTTACGTTTTTAAGATTTTTTCTTAAGAAGCAGATATTTCTTTGATCATTTTGTTTAATTTTATATAGTTAAAGTATATACTTACCTATACATACTTTTTTTATTGTTTTTACTCTTTTTAAGCTGCATCTTTTAGAACTACTCGAACTTACGATATATGAGATCAGAGAAGTATGCGTATGTAAAATATATGTAAGGATATTTAAACATATTAAATAAAATAAACATTATTTTGTAATAATAATTTTATTTTTGAAAATTGGTGATTGTACAATTTACAAAATATATAAAATACATAGAAATATAAACGTATTCATGAAATACATATAGAAAAATAAATTAAAACATAATATATATATATATATATTTTATGTTTTAATTTTATACATATATATATGTATGTGTATAAGTTTAAGTATTTATTTGTGTATATCTTTTCTTATAAATATTCGTATCAATATATAATATTTTTACTTAAACTTATACACAATCTAATAATAAAACTAATTCTTAACCTAAGTTTAATCCCTCTTTTTTATTCTTCTTTTCTTCATCCACTATTCAATCATCCCAATTATTCGAAACCTCAAGAATAACTATCGAGTTACACAACTAATAAACGTTACTGGCTTGAACAATTTCCAAGAGTTCGTCGTCGTCGAGCCTCTCTTCTGAGGATGCGAAACCATCCGTGGTCTCCGCGTTACTTCTACCGAGTCACCGAAAGCTCTCTTTGCCGCACTTTCGACGCCCCGCATCACGCTCGGATACCATTCGACAAGGGGTGCCGCTCTTCGCGGCCAATAATTCAAACTTCAAGGCGCGGGCGTGAAGATCGGTCTAAAGGAATATCAAAAGCTGGTGTGGCGCGCTTCCCGTTTCCCCTTCGCGTCTTCCGTTCCTCCTTCCATCTCAAAGAGGTCGTTCTTCGTCCTTTAGGGGAAGCCGGACGAGCAAGGAACAATATTCCATGGAACTTGTCGTCACGAAAAACGGTTCCTGTACAGAAATAATTTATTTTAAATTTTTTTAAGAGAAATAAATGGATCCATGAAAGTTAATTGAATACCAAAAATGGAATTTTTCTTTAGACACTTAATGGACAAAATATTTCCAAAGTTCGACGATGTATGCAGATATTATAAATATCCATGTCTTTTTAAAATGCGAATAAATAGATTGTACATTTAATTTGTTTACATTCCAATATTCCCCATAAAACACGAAACGAAATCCAACGAAATACAAATCGTCCGATCAATCCTCTTTACTCATCTCTTAAAATTTACTCTTAAAAATTTGTACTACAACATATTTTGTATAAAAAAAAGAGAAGAAAAGAAATCCTCTCCCCTGACTCTTGGAAGAGTAACGCACGGTAACCGCGAAAAAGCTTGCATCTAGTTGGAAACGAAGGGAGAAGAAAGCGAAGAAGAAGGGGACGGAGAAGGAAAGAGGGAGGAAGAGGGGTGGAAGGAGCTTCCTGCACGGGAAGCTGGCGCGGGTGACAAACAACTGCACGGATTCCACGGATCCACGCGGCGCGCAAAGTCCGCGCTAATTAGCGGTTCACGAGCGTGCCGAAAAAGAGGCGAGGCGCGACGAACGCCTGTGCGGACAGAGGAGGTCGAAGGAGGAGGGAAAGAAAGGAATGGAAAGTAAAAACCGAGCGAGAGGAGGAGCGCGTCTGGTGCGCGCGTAGACGTGGGAGGAGGCGAGGGGGGAGGATCGCGGCCCATTTGAATATATCGGCGGGGGACAGTGAGCGATGTTGCACCTGCCTCCTCGAGTCAGCGTAATAGCTGCGAGATGTCACACCACGGTACATGTGCGAGCGAAATTCGTGCACGCCTTCCTCCTCTTTTTCTTCGCCTTGGCTCGGCGTCGCGTCGCGAGCCGGATGGACGATTAGTTGGATGAGTTGCGTCGCGACTTAGGGCGGGTGGACGAGTATGGGGATGTCTTCCTCGCTGTCTCTCGAATGATTTGTGTCTTCGTTTCCACGTGGAGGAAGGGGATTTCGAATTCGCGAATTATTACGCTCGAGATCGGGGCTGGCGTTTGATCGAACACGCGCGTCACGTTAGAGAGATTGGTGAGAGATGATGAGGTGGGGATTGAGACGTTGCAGGTTTCGAAGAGGAGAGGAATTTTGAAGGTTGAAATTGAAACTGAGGTTAAAGATTTCGAATAAAGTTAGTTTTTAAGTAATCGCTTAAAAAGTATTAAAATGTTCGAGTAGTTTATTACAATTAATCCGTTTTTTGTGTAACGTTTGCATCACAATTATTTCCGATTATTATTGTGTTTCGAACAATGAAATATCGAGGTAAATTTATTTATAACCGTTAAATTTTTCCCATCACTGATTTATTAGAAGTAGCCTTTGAAAAGATCGAAAGGTAGTCTTCTTGTTAAAGGTTTAAGCCACTTTCTAATTTTTAAAAGTTACTTTCGATGATACGATGTTTGATTTATTACTTCGAAAGTTTAGTAACTATAAGACTATATTTTTCCAACTTTCTTGACAACAATTATTGAAATTCTTTCGATAATTGGCTAATACTAGCTTTGTTCTGTATGCGAAGAATTTGCTTGTCCATCCATGTCCACCATTCACGATTATTCCATTCCCTCTCTATCAAATCCACTCTTTTCTTTCCGGACGAACGTTACTAGAAAATAAATTTGCTTTGAAGTACAAGCAGGTAATCGAACAAGGTTTAATCGTCGATTACTTGACAAGATGCGGATAAAAGATACTCTCTCTAAAAAAAAAACAACTCTCGTCTTCCATCCATCGACGAAACTCCAAACTCTTTCGAAAAGAATACGAACCAACACCAAAACACTCTTGGACGCTTGCTAAACTTTCGCCTAGAACGAGCAAAAATCATTATTCCATCGAGAGAAAAAAAGGGAGAGAAGAAAAAAAAATTTCTATCCTACCCCCATCGACACACCACGATCACGTTAATTTAATTGTTTTGCGCAAAGCCCCGTCGAAAGAGGGAGCCCCCTCTGAGTGCACCACTGTTCAAACGATATCTTATCGAGCCGCTTTGTACCGGTTTAATTAACGATTAATAATATTCGCCGGACGTTACGTAAATACGGCGTTTTACGAGTGCTCGCTGGTCCTCGGCGATAAGCGCGGGGCAATAGAAACGTATGAAAATCGAAATGGTTCCGTGGAGAAAAACCGGTCGGTGGATACCGAGATATCGTAACGGGGATTATAACAGGAACGCAAGAAAGCGGGGCGGTCGGTTCTCGTTCGTTTCTCCTTTATCACGGTGCCGGGGTTCGGCACGCCTCTGCCAGTCAAATTAACGTGTTAATTGCGGCAAAGGGAGAAAATGGAGTGGTAACACAACGCGCTACGACATTCCGCTTCGGGATTGTTTACTTATAAATTATATTGTACGAGAGTCGAGTAATATATATATATATATATATGTATGTTCGCTCTCCTAGGATAGAAATTTTCGAATATCGTTTGTTCGTCATTTGAAAGAATATTTATCACTCGAAAGTTCTAATTTGTTGCATTTTCAATTTTGCTATGTGTGCTATTTCGTTCAGAAAAATAAATATCGAGTAACAAAGTAGAAAAGGGTGTTACAAATGTTAAACAATATATATCCATGTAATAGAAAGAAATTCGGATCAAATGGTAAATTACACGTGTAATTTAGAAAGCTTAAAATAACGGGATATTGTTAAGTATATGGTGTACCGTTGCCTTTCCGATCCGGGACCAGGGAAGATAGATGCATAGGACGCGATCGAGCGCCACCAACGCCGCGGCCATTTATCTCTAACGAGGCGGCTTATTAGCTAATTAATTGAAACGCATTATATTGGCCCGACTGTCGCCGGCAAGGCGAGACCGTTCTTTTCTTTCGTTCACGCGTGACCAAGACAACGGTGACCTCCCGATAATTCAGCCGACGTAACCGTTCAAATATTCCATCTCGTTCCGCGATATAATCCCGTCGGGGGATCGTGGGCGACGTCGAGGAATGGCGGACGCCTGTTTTCTTCGCCGATGATTGATGGGTGGTAAAGTAAGTTGAGAAATAAACGGCCTTTTAAGCAACTCGTGCCACTCTTTTCCAAGGGGATGATTCTCTTGTCTTTCTCTTCTTTTTTTATTAATTGTAAATATTTTCATCATCCTATTTTTTTCATCATCCTTCTCTCGCGTGAAGGAAGAACGGAAATTTATATTATGCAATTCCCCTAAGATTCTTCTCTCGAGTAAAATTGAAGAAATTGAAAATTTACTACTATCTTTCTACCATACTTACTTCTTCCTCCGATATCGAGGAATAAATAAATAATTGTAAAAAGTATTCGACGATGTTCGACCACATTTGAAAAACAATTCTTCGGCCTACTTCGAATAACCAGCACCGAATCTCCAAATTGTATTGCAAATTTTCACAGCTACAATTATTCCATTCGGATCCAATCAAACAAACATCCCCAACCGAGAGCCATCAGAATCATCGATCGAACCGAGCCGAGTTCCCTCTCTCACACAACCACCTGTACCTCATCGCATATCGAACAATCTAAGCAACCAACGATACTCATCGACCAATCCCCCCCTCTCCTCCCTAAGTGAGCCTAAATGCACGGCCACCTGCGAGTCCTGTCCTTCGATCGACACAGGGGGTACAACGCCGGTTGTTGGACGTTTCAAAGAGGGTGGACGAATCGAGAGAGAGCAAAAGGAGAGAGAGAGAGAGAAGGAGAGCGGAATGTAAATTAATTGATAGCCAATCTCGTCCGCGACTCATAGCCTGTTAATTGGCAGCTTATAGATGAGCGGAGGCTCGTTAGCGACGCGGGCGCACGCGGATCGTGTGCGTG